TTGTGGACTTGTTTTCATTTTCTTCAGCTTCAGCCTGAAATTGCATATGAGCAATTGATGGTCTGTTTTGCAATTTGCCCCTGGCCTTGTTTTGGATGATGATATGGATCTTTTCTACCATCTCTTTCCACAGATACAGTCAATTTGATTTCTGTGTAGTCCATGTGACTAGGTCCATGTGTATAGCTGTCTTTTATGTTGTTTAAAAAGGTATTTGTAATGAACCTGTCATTGATCTTACAAAATTGTATCATGTGATCTCCAGCATTGCTTCTATCACCAAGGCCATATTTTCCAACTAGTGAGCCTTCCTCTTTGTTTCCAACGTTTACATTCCAATCTCCAGTAATTATCAATATATCTTGATTGCATATTTTATCAATTTCAGACTTAAGAAGTTGGTAGAATGCTTCAATTTCATCATTACTGGCTTTACTGGTTGTTGTGTAAATTTGAATAATAGTGACCTTAATTAGTTTTCCGTGTATTATTGTTACATGCCATTGAGTAGGTTCTGACTCATATAAGGTTTCCATGGAACAACTGGTGAGCTTGAACTGCCGACATTGTGGTTCAAACTGACCTTGGAGTCCAGCACAATACCAGCAGTGCCACACCAGTACTCACGGTCTTCTTTGTAGGTGTATAGATATTATCCTATTCAATATCCAAGTACAAGACAGCATTGTACTTCAAGACAGATCTTGATATGTTCTTTTTGATGATGAATGTGACACCATTCCTCCTCAATTTATCATTCCTGGCATAGTAAACCATGTGATTGTCAGATTCAAAATGGCCAATACCAGTCCATTTCACTTTTGACAATTTCCAGTTTTCCTAGATTCATACTTTGTATATCCCATGTTCCACTTATTAATAGATGTTTATAGCTGCTTCTCTTCACTTTCAATTGAGCCCCTCAGCAAATGAAGGTCCTGAAGGCTTTACTCCATTCTCATCATCACAGTCAACTCTACTTTGAGGAGGAAGCACTTCCTGAGTCTTATTTTTGAATGTCTTCTAACCTGAGGGGCTTAATATCTGACAATATTCTGGTGGTCTTCACTATGCTTCAATATTCAACATTCTGGGCCTGACAGTGTTTTACTGCTATTCATAAGATTTTCAGTGACTAAATATTTGGAAGTAGTCTGTCTCTCCTTCCTAGTCCATCTTTGTCTAGAAGATCAGCTGAAACCTGTCCACATGGGTGATCCTGCTAGTATTTAAAATACCCATGACATAGCTTCCAGAATCACAGTGACAAACTGACAGAAGAGTGGTGAAAAGACATTGTTGTTGTTTTTAAGTGATGTTGAGTCAGTTCCAATCCATGGAGACCTTGTATAGGGAGGATTTTCAAGGTGCAGCTGGTGAGCTTGAACCACCAACCTTGAGGTTCAAACAACTTTGCACTCCTGAGCATTTATCACAATAAGTATTTGAGGCCTATCTTTCGTTTTTTCCAATTCTGTAGTGCTGGAATAAAATCACTGGACTGCGAACCATAAGGTTGGCAATTTAAGCGCACCAGCCACTCCATGGAAACTCTAAACATGGTCGTTATGAGTTGAACCTAAATCGATGACACTTAACAACAGCAACTCAAGTGAGGTAGTTAGAAGATCATCTTTTTCTGTTAGTGATCCCAAGCCGCTGATCTCTGTTTCTACTTTTGCTAGTAAGTACTTCAGCTTATAAGGAGCTCTGGTAGTGTAGTGGATACGAATCGGGCTGTGAACCTCAAGGTCAGCAGTTCAAAACTACCAGCGGTTCCGTGGGAGAAAGATGATGCGTTCTGCTCCC